GCATGACTGAAATGACGCACTTGATGGATTTGCCACAAAAGAACATGGCAAGATTGCAATCTGTCTAATTATTGATGAGGGGCTGGGGGGGGGGGTGTGGGGCAATCGTGGTGCCACTGGGACGGTCAGAGCCATGAGGAAGTGGGAGGCAAGATTCCCTCATTCCTTTCGGGGACCCTCAAACCAGTAACACACCCCCCACCCTCCAGTTGACAACAACTTTTGTTGTTACCACACCCCCCCTTGCTCTGGCATCCTGCTGACACCAGAGATGCCCCCTCCCCCCCCCCGGTGAAAATCTTGGGCCCACCTGTCAGATTCGTTCTGCCGCTTATCTGTAGTAATGAAACATGTGGCTTCTGCCTCCTCCGCTTAAAGGAAGCTCTGTGTGTGTTTAGGTGGATTATTAAAGATCGGCGGGGCGCCGAGCCGCATATCCGATAAGGCGGAGGGACTCGTCAGAAACAGGGGCCCTTATTAAGAGCTAATTAAGAAGAATAACGAAAGTGAGGCCGTGCTCCTGAAGGCTTCTGCCGGTCTCCTCCAGCCCTGTGGAGCTTCCAGGACGGCATCCCGCAGCGCTACCACAAAATCGGGCGACCTCTGCTCCATGCCTCGGCGTGAGGCTTCCTTCCCATTCGCTCCCCAGGAGGCCCAACACATGCCAGTGGGCGAAGCGACAACATCCCCGGTCATCTGTGAGGTCCTGCCCCGTCTCCACGCCGGCTCCAGGTTTACCGAGGAGCACCTATGAGTCGATCGGGACGTCGGGCGGTCCTGTGCTGAGACTCACGGCGCTCCCGTAAAGCCGCCGAGACTCATGGCGCTCCCGTAAAGCCGCACAGTGAGCGGCCGCCTCCCCTTTGTTTCTGCATTTGTTTAATGGCACTTTTTCAGTTTAATTGTAAAGTTAACTACACGGCACATTCCAAGGGGAATCCTTAATCGGCCGTCGTAAAGAAGTTATTCCGCGCCTCTATTTAGCCGCTTATTTAAGTATCTGACTGATCAAAGGTGGCATGTAAAAATTATTCATGCTGCTGACAGGAGAAAGGTTTACAGGACATAGTTTCGTAGAGTTATGGGGTGAAGCATCTTTTAGAGACAGACAGGACCCAACAAGTGTGGGATCCTGAACCAGACAAACAGCATTAGTTATGGCTTCAATACTGAGCCCATAACTAACAGCTCCAAACATGTGACTAAGTGCGAAATAAAATGCGATCCGTCCGTTCTTTCAAAATGGAAAACATCTAATATTAATCATTACGGGAATGTGGATGGTTGACCTGAATGCCTGATGCAGCCCCTGGCCGTGGCTCTGTCTGGAAGACGCTGTCCTTCCAGCTCTCCTCTCCTGTTCACCGCCCATCCAGGAGGGGAAGGATGTCTGTCTCGGAGGCAGCTTGCTATTTCACGGCCTGCTAACTGCTAGTGCTGGAATGCACTCCCGTTCTTAGTGGACAATGAGCCGTGCCGTCTGCTAACCCCTAACTCTGCAGCACCGGCCACCGGCGCCCGCTTCCTGGTGGACGGAGACCCAAGGGCGCCTGCTGGGCCACCCTAGGCCGCAGCTAACTGCTAATAACGCCACACATGCTGGACCCTGGTGGGGGAATGGATAAGGAGAAGCCGACACCTGCTAACAGCTAACGTGGCTACACTGAGATACCGAGGGAGGGGGCGGCATTTACACGGATGGGTGAGCCAGGGCAGCAGACGCGGGCCGGACGCTGGCCTCTCCAAACCAGCCCTTAAAAAAACTCCCCTGTGCCTCCTGCACGGCCACAGTGCCTCCATCTGTGCCGTCCCAGGGCCTCGGCCACTCAGGAGGCCTTTCTGCTCAACAAACCCGGTCCAAGTAACCATCATTGGGTGACTAATAGGTTCTGACAGCGCACAGGCTTTTGCAGCCCGTTTTAGAGTACATGGGGTGGCTCTGTTCCTGTAAAATCCCCAGTGTACTCATTAAAATCATCCCCCTCCAGGACCGACGGAGGCAAATGTCAAGTCATTTATTTGTGTTTTATGTAAACAAGGCTGACATAGTGCGATAGGGGAAGGTTATTACGCCTCATTGTGGCCCCATGATTGATTGCCCACCCTGCAATCAGAAAAAAAAAATGGGGACACCAGTTTGCCACAGCAGGATTGCGATGCATCCATGACAGCCAGCGGGGGAGTGGGACAGGAATTCAGAGGGTCAGTGGTGACCAAACCCTGAATGGGTGTGGGTGTGGGTGCTGGGGCGTACAAGGGCGCCGCCCCCCCCCCAGTCACATGGCATCCGCCGGCAGCGCGGCGCTGATTCGCTCGGCGTTCCGCCCCCCGGCTCTGCGCCGGCTGCAGCAGCCGCCTCGCCACCCTGCGGCAATTAGCACTGTGTAAATTGAAGCAATTTGCATGGTCTAAACAAACCCCAGCACCGTCAAAACATCAGCCTGCCAGACGCAGATCGGAGGGGGGGGTGCTGAACCAGAGCCAGGAGGCGGGCTTGCCATGAGGGGGCGGGGGGCCCCCCCTTGGTGTAACCCAAACTCCAACGACCGTGAATATCTTTGCTTCCACTACATGGGTTGTATTGATGTTATTCCGGAAAAGAACATCCTGCACCTGATATCATACCTCTGGACCATTGGACTGTAATGGCAAGGGTGCAGAGTGGGACCAGGTCCATTCGGCCATGACGGTAATGTGCATGGCTCTGAAAACACACCGAGCAGGTTGTAGACGCGCAGATGTCACATGTAGTGAAAATGAGCTGTTGATTGTCACATATATAGCAAGTGAAAGAGAGGAGAGACAGAAAAGATTGCCAGAGGAAACAGTCCATGAACATATCAATGTACTTATTTGATACTGAAACTCAAGAGACTCATGCAGCAGTATCTGTGCATCACACTATCATATAGATGTAGTTCCCATTCCTCCCATTAGGGGGCTTTGACCCAGAGGGATTACTATGTAGAGGCTGAGAGAGAGAGAGCAGAGGAGTGAGCCCACATGGGTTTGTGGGGTCCAACACTGTCGCCAGAGCAACATTCCCCCTCTCCTCCACACCCACCAATCACCACTATGCCAAAATTGAACAAGTGCCTGTCAAAACTAAGGAGCAGAGCTCCACCCCTTTGGGCATTAACTAGGGACAGCATGACAGCAGCGCATCCTCCTCGGTCCTGAAGTGGCCGAGGGCCCCGGGTCCTCGCAAAGTACCTGGTGCAGCACGGATGCTTGTCGTGGGGAAAGATTAATGCGAGCTCCTTGGAGCAAAGGTACCTTTTGGTGCTTAATAAGGTACAAATAAATTGTTCCTGCTACACTGCCTTGTCAGGAAAAACTGTTGATGTGCTGTTTATGTTATTCCCTAGCAGGCGCGTGTACGTGTGCTCGCGCACCCGCAGAGAGCGCAGCAGGGGGGCTGGGGGGCTGGGGGGCGGACACGCATGCGCCTGACGCTTACCTCCACACCCTGCACTTTCAGCTTCATGTGATCCTCCCGCGTGGTCTTCCCATCCTTCCTCTTCTTCCAGCAGTACCCGTCTTTCCTGTACTTCACCTTCTTTCTGTTGTACAGTATCATCGACCCATTCTGTGGCCTGGGGAGGGGGGAGGGGCGGGGAGAGACAGGAAGGGTATCGGTCAGAGCCGACAGACGGCGCGACGCATCACAGGACACCCGACCTGCGTCGATATCAGCTGACCCCAAACCCCCTGAGTGTTGAGTTTCTTCTCTTACTATGTGGGCCGTGGACAAACTATAGGATATAAAGTAAAACAAAGGGACTTTAATTTCTTGCCTGCTAATGGATAGGTTAAATAAAAGCTAATGTGAAAGAACCTCCTCCATAGTGTTTTGTCTGCCCCTTTTACTTAGACCTGCTCTGATCCTGCCATGTTTTTCCTTTTGATAAAGACTGTACTGTATCTTTATTATACTTTCATGAGTGGCCCAGTGGTAAATAGAGTTGCTCAGGGAGACAGATTTTTGCAGTCCGGCTCGCAGCAGAGGAGGGATCGGGCACCCATGCCCCCCACCTGTGCAGGCCGACCCCCCAGTCTGGCCCTGGACCTCGCCCAGCTCTCCTGCAGCTCTCAGCACCTCTGCTGCCTGGAGGACGGGCCGCGGACGGACCTCATTAGTGGCTCCGTGTCTGAGGGGCACAGCCCGAGGCATGGTTCTCCTCCCCCTTACCCACAATACCATGCAAAAGGCGGCACACACCTGCCCGGGGCATCTGCTCGTTCCAGCCCTTCAAGCTGTCACTGTTTGTATAGGTGGCACCCATCGAATTTTGCCAGCTTAACACGACCACGTATCTCGCTGGAGTGACTCAGCTGGAATCCTCCAGCAACCCATTTGGACAGAGAGGCAGCAATGCCCCCACGCCTCCCCGCCCCCCCCCCCGTGACACCTGGCCGTGACCGTTTTCCGTAAATGCCACAAGCAACCGTCTAGATCCCGCCCTGCAGGGCCTGGCTCCTGTTTATCTCTCCGTCTCTCATCACTCACTCCCCGGGACTGGTGTCGGGGGGCCTGACAGGTGGGGGCGGAGTCACAGACAGCCCACTGTGGAGCCCCCTCCGCCACCGCCCCATGACAGGGCCTTTTAATTAGATGCCTCACGCTAGCTCTGCATCCGCATCTCCCCCCTTCCCAAACCGTCCACGCTGCCCCCTCCGTCTAAACGACATTTCTCTGCAGCTCCCTCTTTCACTCTGTCATCATCTCTCTCCCACGTTTTTTTCCCGTTACTCCCCTTCATCAACCCTTTTTATGGCCAGCCTCTGCTTCTCTCTCTCTCTCCCTCTCTTTCCCTGCAATGGAAGTCCTTGACCTACCCATTGTACAATGAGACGGAAGTCGGGTTTCCAATGGAGTGACTCAACTTCCCACGATTTCTGTGATATGCGTTATCTTAATAGGAGCAGAGCTGCCCCGGGCATTTCCCCTTCTGTTTAATAATATTATCTCAGACACAACATGACCATCAGATACAGCCTGGGGGGATTGTTCACTCTGGCATGTTATTCAGTCCTTCTTCATGCAGCTGATGCAGGCGATGCTTGAGTCATTATAGCTTACAAAGTAGCTTGCATAAAGGATCCAAACTCTTGTGATTTTTTGAAAATTTTGTTGCCATGTGAACTTGGGGGGAGGCATATTTATTACCAATTAATTATTAAGACATTAAGTAGCTATTAGCAAGCAGAAACACAAGTCGGTCCAGATGATCAAATGGTAAAAGAAGGACCAGAGGATTCTTTATATGAAAGAAAAGGGGATATTTAATGATTGCAAACCGCTTATGGTGCTGGAGCAGAATTAATTCGCGTGCCCAAAATTAACGAACAGGACAAGCACGATGACCTTCGTCTGTGAGCGGAGAAGGTAAACGGCCGTCTCACTCCAGCCAGGGGTCGATCGTCAAAAAGCAGGGAGGTTTCACAATGCTCGGGGGAGAATTCACTGAAGAAAAAGCAGAGACACGGAGACAGCTACATACACATCATGAAGAAGTGGAATGTGCACCGTTACCACCCGGATGCCGGCTAAGATCAGGCCACCACAGATGAAACTGCTGAGGGATGACACTGCGAGACCAGAAGAGCTATGGAAGTTCACCGGCAGAGATGAGAGGAAATGTGCACCAGTCAACACCTTCCAGAATACACAAAACCAGCCCGTTTGGCAGGACAGGCAGCAGGGAGCGACAGCTAAAAATAATCCATCTCAAAGCCCGCGCGGAGTTTGGAACAGAACTCCCGAGTGGAGCCAAAGGTGGGGGCAGAAGTGGCCCTTGTCGTATGACATCAGCTGCACCATTCAGTCCAAACGAAGAGGGTCAGCTTTGACTGGGGATCAGCATGGCACCTCACCCCATAGACACCTTCCGGAAGGTCACACGGCGGCAGAGGAGGCACTGTGTTGTGTCTATCCCCTGAGGGAGCTGGGGAAGGAGGAGTGCATAGAGAAGAGTGCAGAAGAACACAAGAAGGAAAAACTTTCAGTCTGCTGAAATCTGAGGTGAAAATACACCTTTCAGGACAACAATCCAAAGTATAAGTCAACACTGGATTGGCTTTGGAATGAGATACTGTTTGTACTCAAGTGGCCCAGGCAAAGTCCTGCCTCGAATACTACTGAGACTCCGTAGGAAGACTTAAAAACAGCTGTCAATAAGCGATCCCCAAGCAACTGCAGAGAGCTTTAGCAAATCTACTGAGAAGGATGCGTCCAAAGTTAGCACAGAGTGTGAGCCGGCCTGGAAAGTTAGCAGACTTTCCCAGAAAGACTTAGGCTTTAATTGCTGCCAAAAGTGCTTCCACTAAAATACTGAGTTCAGACATCTGAATACTTACGCAATCAACATTTTTCATGGTTCCCCCCCCCCCCCCCCCCCCCCCCCCCAGCCCCTCATCAATAA